AGGTGTGGGTGAGTTCATGCTGAAAAAAAAAATATCTTTTATTCATCCTGTGTCAATGTGTATCTATGTGTAAACTATGTTTGTCTAAATTGTTGCCAAAAGTAACAAGTTTGAAAATCAATTGACCTAAAGAAAATGTAGACAGAAAGGATGATAGAATAGAAAATGTTATTTTTAAAGTTTGCAGGCTAATAATGACCTGTATCTGAAGCTTTTGTTGTAAGTATGAAAAAAATGATGAAATATATTAAAATTTATTTGGCTTTATTAAAAGTTCAATCTGGCAACCCTGTCACTTTACTTTTGTATTTTTGCCATAGATGGCTAGAAAATGTACAAACATGTGAATGGCTCCTTGACATTTGGCCAGATGTCATCAAATTTGTGAACTTAATTAAAAAAAAAAAAACCCCAAAAAACAAAAAAAAAAATGTCCCCAGACCAAGTCCTTCTCTGCGGTGCTGTCAAACATGAATGACGTTTTATTTCCAGTGAAACTGCAGATTTTTGTGTCTGTTTCGAAAGACATTGAACCATTTCTGATAAAATATCAGAGCACTAAACTGCCTTTCCTTGAAGATGATTTTTTTTTTTTTAGCATTATCATGAAACTTAAGATTTGTAAAGGTAGAGCACACTAAAAAAGATAATTACATTTTCCAAACTGAATGAATTTTAAGAATTTTGTCAAACCCAAACATGCATAAAGATGCTGCAAAGATCGAGTGTGGATTTCTGGCAGATAGGGCTATGCAAAATTTATCCAAAAAAGGAAATGTGTCAACAAAAGATCTGTTTGCATGCAGAATTGCAACAAAGACAATGTTCATCACCATCATTGAGAAACTTCTGGCAAAATCTCCCCTTAGATACCCTCTTGTAAGGTCACTTGCATGGCTGAACCCTGGATCCATTTGTGAAAAAAAAAAAAAAACAGAAGACAGTCTAAAAAAATGTGTTTTCCATGATGGATAGAAAAAACAAGTCAGCAAGTCTGATTGTGTGATGACATCATCAGTCAGTACAAAGAGTTTGAGGAGGAGGCTGCTGGAAATATTGCTTTCAAGAATTTCAGCAAGCATGAAGACCATCTGATCACTTTTCTTCTTCTTTGTCTAGCAACAAAGAATATCAAAAACTGTAGAAAGTTGTTTGCAGATTGCTGGTACTCTCTCATGGACAGGCCTCAGTGGAGAGAGGTTTTTCTGTCAATAAGGAAATTTTCACTGACAATGTGAAACAGCAGGCTTGGGTTGCACTGCATATTATGGGCTATTTGGCCACAGTTGGTGTTGGGAATGTTCCCATGACTAAGGCTCTTCTCTGCAGTGCTTCCAATGCCAGAACAGCATACAACCAATACCTTGAGGCTGAGAAAAAAAAAAAAAAAGGAAGAAGCAGCTGGACAAAAACAGAAATCCATGCTTATGGAAATTGAAGAACTGAAGACCAAAAAACACAAGCTTGAAAGTTGCACACAAGATTTGCTCAAGTCAACTGACAGCTATGCAGAGAAAGCTGAGCAGACTCAGAACTTCACACTTATTGCAAAGTCCAATGCCATGCAAAGATCTGCAAAGGACAAATCCATAGAGATATCAAAATTGGAAGAGGAGCTGAATGCTAAACTAGATGAACTGAAAAAATGTTAACATCATTGTGTTCTGTGCCATGTGCAATAAGCATGAGTAGTAGGGGTAGCTAAAATGTGTAGTCTTTTTGTAAAATTTCTATTTGTAGTTCTGTTCATTAAAACCATTATACTTAACTTCACTGGAAATGTGCAGCAGTCAAGAATTTTTGTGACATTCACAAACCATGAGTAGTCTAGATAGCTGAAATGTGTAGCAGTAAGAATTAAAGTGTGTAATTCAAAATTTTCAAGTGTAGTAGAACTCCAAACTGTGTAGAATGCTACACAAATGTGTAACATAACCAGGTCTGCATTCAGTTCTTTGTATTCTGGGAATTCCTCAAGCAATGATTTGGGTCTGCACAGGACTTTCTGAAGCTCTGGCAGGCACAGTGTCTGGAATTCCTCAAAATTTTTTTAGCATTTCTTAAAAGCTTGGTATGTCGCCATGAATGCATTTTCTTAATAAGCGGTTTGTTGAGGTTGTTCCAAAATCCTGGAAGATGCTGTAGCCCTCACATTCCTAAGACGATGTGAAGTGGTTTGTTCAGGGCTTTCTAAAGCTCTTGAACATGCTGTAGCGCTGGCATTCCTTAAGCACCGAAGGATTGTCTATGTTGGAAACTCTGAAGCCTTGGCCCTAGTAATGCGTATTGCATCCTGTGAATTCTGTACTAAACGCTCTTCAGTTGAAAGTCTAGTGCGTCATGATGACATGACTGATACTAATGATACCAGCCTTTCAGTCCATCCAGCGGTATTTCCATGAAGATGCAGGCAGCAGTGTGAGAGGCCATCTGAGAAAGACGCAACAAAGTTTGATCTGTGGTTTCATTTGCCCTTGCTGCTCTTGTAGCAGAGGCAGCAGCCATGTGCCGTCCAAAAAGTTTTCTTCTCTTAGGCGGCATTTTAACAATTTTAAAAAGGCAAACGTAATAAAAGGTATGTAGGTTTTTTGAGTGCAAAAAATACATGTGGCAGGTTAGAGGGATCCCAAAAATGTATGTAACTGTATCAAAAGGGGATTGAAGAGAAAAAAACTGAAGTTTAAAAAATTCAATTAAAGCTAAAACGGTAGTAGGTAATTTGGAAAAGCAAATTTGATAAGCGAAACAGGTGTAGTTATAACTAAGAAGTAAAAAAAACAGTTTGGATAAAAATCAACAACTTGCGGTTTCCGTAAAGCGAATAAAGTGAGCCAAGTCTTTGGACAATGTCGCAGAAGTGTGAACACACATGCGAGTTATATAGTATAAGGAGGTAGTTGGCTGGTTGACCTTGAGCGCACATACTAAGGTGACGCACGTGCACAAGAGAACTGCTCAAGCATATGATTTAATGGGCCCAAGGTTAAACGCTTGCAACTGTGCCAATGAGCTCACAGCAATCTTGAACAGTTGATGCGATTGGTTAACCTCCAGCTGGGTTAGTCAAAGCAGTGCACAGTGGCGAATGACATTTCAAAATAGTATCTGGCAACTTTATTGTATTGGGTTTTTTATTGATAAATATGAAAGCTATGTAGTTCCTTATCCCAAAATAGGCATGCCATTGATTTGCGTCGTCACAGATGTAGTGCACTCTCTCAAAGTCAGCCAGTCAGAAAATGGGATTTTCAAGCTTCATTTTTCTTTGAAAATTTTGATCAGCCAGGTGGTTTTATTGATCAAAAATTGAAAATACAAGCGTTTTTACACTTCTTACGAACAAAATTTGAATGTCAATTTTGTTTACTGATGGATGATGGCCTTTAAGTAGCACAAATTTAGATGAAAACATGCAAGAACTTTTTTGGGCAACAATGCACAGTAGTAAAATTATAGTGAGTAGGTGCCTTTTTCTACACGTAAATGGCATGAAAAGACATAACAGTCCCCTGGTGACCCCTCAAATGAAAAAATGCAATCAAATGTTAAAAATTGGACAAATTGAACAATTGGGGGGGGATCCAATTCTGTTCACTTGGCTTAAAAGTGGTGGCGTGAAGTGGCATAAAATGTGTTAGTGATTGCTCACTGAATTCAATCCTATGCTTTAGTAGGTTAAATGGGCTACAAACACCTAAAAAGCAGCAGTTTCACCTTGTTTTTACTGATTTTTCTGGTAAAATTGGACATGCAGCTCTGTAAATCCCTTTTAAATTGGCTTTAACATTTATTGTGCAAATGCAGAAAACATGGAAAGTAATGCATGTCTGCATTGAAACATTAAAAGATCCTTTTTAAAAAACATGGTATGAGCGTTAAATACTGAAATGAAAGTAGGCTGCCTGAAATCTCTACCCCATTTGAGATGCTTGATGTGTGCTACCCCAATCATTCACACATGATCTCGCATAACCCTGCAGCATGAATGGGCCAATCAGCAGCAAGCATTACGCATTGTGCGAGCCACATGTGACTAATAACATTAATCCAATTGGCTTTTGGGGCGCAAAGTTCAGCTGCGACAGAAATCCTTCATTGTGATAACTTTTGCATCTGAAACCAAAATATGACCATTCTTGTCCTTTCTTATTCCCATATAAGCACTTGAATTCTAATTATGCTACCGCTATTAATACTGACATGAAAACGCACATAATTACACACGCGTGCATCTGATCAAAAATGAAAAATCAATAATATTGATTTAAATATTGACTTTTTGGCACCGTCAAAACCTCTGCAGGACCATTAGCAGTAACTGTGTCAAATTTGGTTAAAATCAGTTGAAAAATGTAGGAGATCTGATCAAACGCACACACATTCTGCCTTTTATATGTATAGATCATTGTTCAAAAATGAACATTTTGTTTTGATTAAAAAATTAATTTTGTAATAAAATCACAATTTACCATTACAAGAATCGGTTTCATTTTATTGAGGCACTGGTGTAAACAATGATTTCAGATATTTTTCGAAACTTTTTTTGTTTTAATATCTTGTCTCCACACGGCATAGGCGATCATACCTCTTTACAGATTCTTTTTCTTTGACTTTTGCTAGTGGCTATATTAGAGTGTTTTCCCATTGCTTTTCCATGGTTTTGAACTTTCATAGACTGGCTTGCCAATCAAGGCTAGGGAGCCTAGTCTTCACTGCTATTTAACTCATACCTAGAAGGGGAATAGATGAATTCATACCTTTTCCAATGGCATTTGTGCAAAAGTGAAAACAAAAGAATAGGTTGCAATTAGAAGTTGGCTTGCCAATCCCACCTCACATGCTGATAAATTAATTACACTACTCACATATCTGCACATACAGATGTGTGAGTAGTGTAATTAATTCTCATATGATTAATTAATCTTAATGTCTTCCTAAACACAACTGACTTTTTATTTTTTTAGTGTTGTTCATTTTTGCTTTTCATTTCTATTTTTCAGGACATTTACTGGCTGGCCTTACTGAAGCAGTGTATTGAAAACCATGCTTATGTGGGCTGTGTACTTCCAGAGGAACTAACCACTAACTCTGACTCCTGACACTTCCTTTCCCCTGTCCTTAGCCCTCTGTCCCCTCTCCTTTCCATTGTCACACCATTTCATCAAAGCACAACAACAAACACACAAAATTAAAAAAAATCAAAAAGTGCATGCATTCAAACAATGAGGATATTAGGATAAATAACAGATAATAAATTGTGTGTAGGTACATGCCTCTCCATAAACCAGAGCCTCTATCAATGTCCCACAAAGGTTTGACTTTTAAAACTGATATATATATATATATATATATATATATATATACACACACACACACACACACACACACACAGGCCAGTTGTATGAAGAGATTTAAATGTGTATAGTCACACACGCACTTGGTGTGTTGATTGATTCGTTATGTCTCTGATAGAAAGTTGATTGGTTGGTATTGAAGAGCAGAGACAATTGCTGTTAGCAATGAAAACTATTTAAAATTTGAAACTGCATTTTTCTGTGAAGCCGTGTGCTCATTCTGGACTTTATTGGCCAAAATGTTATTAGACAGTCAAGAAACAAATCTGTTGATGTTTGACTTTTGACTCCATTTTTTATATATTTTTTGTTTCTCTTCATTTGAGAATCAGCTCTAGTCATCTGTTTTGTGCTTCCCCCCCCCCTTTCCACACTAACTTTGAAATATTAATATTTCTCTCCCTGACATTACTGAATTTATCTTTTTTTTTCATTCCTCCCTATTGCAGGTGTCTAGAGTTTAATTTAAAAAATAAAATAATTGAAATTTATATTTTTGTTACTTTTTTTATGTTGAACAAAATAAAGACAATTTTTTTTTTATAGCAAAATAACAAATTGGAAGCAGCCCTTTTGCTGTTTAAAAAAAAATAAAATAAAGTGAGTCAATTATGTCAACTCTTTAGATATATGGCTGTATAAAGAAATTGGTTGCTATATAAAAGTAAGATAGAACAAACTTAGGAAAGAAGCATTTAGCTATCTCTGAAGAAATGTTACCGAGAGATGTCACTTTGATTCTCTTCAATTTTACTTCATTAGTTCCAGTAAACAATGCTCTTTGTTATCATTAACTAATTCTTTTTTACTCAAACAATTTTGACCCAAAATGCTCAAACTTTTTCAAGCAATTTGAAGAAAAATATCTGAAACGGAATACTCTAAACAATATCAGAGAACCAATTGCATTTAATGTACAGATTTCGTTATAAAGGAATGAAGTGTTAGATGTTAATTTTTATATACTAAGACTTCCTGTAGATAATGAACTCAATGAGAAGACAATTGAAGACACAAAAGATTTCAATTGTTAATTTGTTTCTTGCCAGCATTGATGGCCTTGAAATAAAGTGGTTTTGTTAGCATTACAGTTTTGTATGTAAATGAGGGTCTCTTAAAAAATGTTATGATCTTTTCAATATGATCCTTTATTTAACTTTTTTAGGATTATGGACGCACAAAAAAGACTCTTCTAGAATTGGTCATTGTAGAAATTTTCAATCATGCACCTTCAACTAGTTGGATTTTTTAACAAATGTTTGTGGAGGTTGAATAAAATACTAGAGATTTGTTGATTCTCTCATCTCATTGTCTATTTCTTTGATTCAAAATCATATTGTAAATTGAATTGAAAATAGAACTTTAAATATCAATTTGAAAATGTACTTTTCATCACAATAAAGAAAAAAATACTTAGATATACATCTTCAATCCTATACTTTGTTTTTGTGTTTGTTTATTAATTTGAAGAAAAATTGTCTTGTTTTGCTTTTAATAAGACATTCCATTTACTAAATTGTTTTTATCCAAATATGTGAAATATGACTTTTAACAGGAATATAATGAAGGAAGTCAGCATTTGCAGATTTTATTGTTGATTTGCCGCCAATCTATAGGGTTTTGGTGCAGTTGATGATTTTAATGCCACACACACCCATGTCACTGTACATGGCTTATGGTGCTCAGGTGCAACTTAGTTTTCAGATTTTTGTAAACCAATTTCATGCATTGTGTAAATTATTTTCTGTTAAGAATTTTTTTTTTTAAATGGCTTACAAAATGAGCATTGCAATGGCCTTTTTTATTTTTAAATTAATTTACTAACAAGAAAAAATATGACCATGAATTTTTTTTTTTTTTTTTTTTCTTTAAATTCTAAAAATTTTAGCTGTCATTTCAAAATAATTCTTTTCTTTATATTGTTTTCAACTAATTATTTTCAGGTAAATAATGACTATTTAAATTAATTAAAACTTTAATTGCCACTATTGTATTAACACAAATGAAAAACTAGTTTATCACTCAAAGCCAGTATACATCCTTTGTGACTTGGTTCAATCAGGTGGAGAAGGATGGTTGCTCTACATTGTATGTAGTGTGGTAGGGTAGGCTCTCTGATGTTGAGCACTTTCACCTGTAAATATAGCATACTCAAACTATTTTAGTATGTGTATATGATTAAAAAATAAGTTATGGTACATGTTGAATGAAAAAATATTTGAGCGTTTTGGGGGATTCTTTATTCCAGAAAATCAAACTGCAAATGGCATATCAAAACGTATTCTAGAACAAGTAGACATAATCCTTCAAGGAAATGGACAAAAACTGATAGCCCAGACATTTGATGGTGTAAATGTCATGAGTCAAAAAAGGAGGAGTTCAAGCAAAAGTAAAAGCAGTTTATAGTAGTGCACATTTCATTTTCCATTATGCATATCTACTTAATTTAATGAGAAATGCTGCAGGTATTACATGGAACACAAGAATATTTTGGCTTTACCCCATTCTTCTCAAGAAGCATGGGTCTCAGCATTCCATGTCCATCCTTTTAAAGACCGTGAACAGAGTTCATGAAAATTTGCAAACTTTTAAAAAGCTACCTTATGGAAATTCAGTCAACATCAAATGCAGATCAAACAATTGCAGAAGCAACAGGAATATTACAATAGCTGAATCATGATATTTACATGTTTTGGTTAGTTTTTTCTTCAGATTATGCCTCATGTTGAAATAATTTACAACCAAATGCAATTTTGAGAAATTAGTGTGTTTAAAGTTAATACATGACAGATTTCAAAACTTCTATTTTAGAAATAAGAAATTTGAAGTACTGTGAGAATCCTTTAAAAACACTGACAGAAGCATAGGAAGTGTTTGATATAATGGACAAATATTCTTCCACTATACACTTAGTAGCTGCTAAATTGTTCAACAATAAAAGCTTCACTAGTTTTAAGAATGAACTGCCTATAGAATAAATAGTACTGACCACTGAAGCATATCTCATGATTGACCAAGAAAAGCTTGAAACTAAACTAAAAGCATTCTACTGTAGAATCTGATATGCATGAATATTGCTCTGATATCATTGACAAAACTATCCTGGCTGCTGATTTCAAAAAGGATCTCCAATTTGTGGTTGACTGTGGCAGGAAATGGCTCATAAACTTTAATGCCTCCAAAACGAAACTGCTTTCCTTTACCCACCACAGAGAACCCTCTCTGCCTCTCTTCAGAATGCCTGATTCCCAACTCCTTAAGAGCACCTCGTTACACCTGCTTGGTCTCACGCTGTTCCCTGATATGAGGTGGAATAAATACATTGAATCAATAGCTTCATCTACCACAAGGAAAGTTGGTTTGCTGTGTCATGGCAGAATCCATCCTTCAAATATATATATCCTAAGTCCATCCTTCAAATATATAAATCAACCATCCATCCTTGTATGAAATATTGCTGTCATATATGGTCTGGTGCTCCCACTGTACGTCTCAAAGTCCTCAACAAAATCCAGAGACAAATATGCAAGATGATAGGTCCTGATCTGGCATCTAGTCTATAATTGCTATCCTACTTCTGAAAGTATTTTCATGGCAACTGTTCTGAAAAGCTACTTTTGCTGGTTCCCAGGCTGCATGAATTTAAGCGAGCTACCAGGCTGGCATCCTGGTCCCACACTTTCACTGTTAAAACGGTTAAATGTAACCATCTCTTCTACTTAAACAGCTTCTCCTACACTTCCTGTCTGTGGAACTCCTTTCCCCTTACTTGATTCCTCGGTGACTATAATTTTCAAATGTAGAAGTGTAATGTCAATCAACATATGTGCTTATTCCCTGTCCTTCTCTGTATCCTTTCCCCAAACATGACTCTTTACTCTTGTTCTCAATTCTCTGTAACCCCTTGCATGCTAGTGGCACTCCCACCTTAAAAAAAATTGAGCTGCTGAAATTTATGTTGGAAAATAATCTAGATGGTGTTCTTAGTGAAATTAAGAAACTAATAAAAATCCTCTTGACAATTGCCATGACACAATCAGATACAGAATGCTGTTTTTCAACACTGAAAAGAATAAAAACTTTTCTAAGGAGCACTATGAATCCTAAAAGACTAAATACACTTGCAGTGCTTTCAATGAAGAAATATTTCCTCAAAAGTCACCCAGGAATCAAGGAAAAATTATTAACGTTTTCGCTCAATGTAAAATAAGAAATAAAAAAAAAATTCATTTTAGGATTTTATGAAGCTTATGTATAATTTTTTTTTGTTGTTTTGCTTTACACAATATTGAAAGAATGACTAAAAAAATTCTGAAGCAGCACCCTTACTAATTTTAACCACGGGCCGCCACTGATGTGTTAATTTTTTAATTTTTGTTTGTATTATTAAATTTTATTTCATTTATTTCCTTCGTGGAAGAAATTTACTTTTTGTATCTTAGGTTTATTTTTGATTGGATTTTATTTCTTCCTTTTTTGTTTTATATTTAACAAAAAATAAGAATATTTGTTCAGTCTAGAAAGGAAAAACTTTTCTGAAAAAAAAAGAACCAAAAAAAGAAAATGGCTGACAAACGTCAGGTAATAAAAACCTTTTGGGGTCTACCTCTAAAGTGGACCTGCATGATAAAAAGGCAAAATCACCTAAGCCTAATGATAAAGAGATACAGAAAATGAAAAGAACGTTGATCAAAATAATGAAAATAAAAGTAGAGAGGCCAAGAATGGCCAAAATATAAGCAATC